TATGAAACGGGTGGCTGCAGTTACTTTTATGTCTATCATAGAGTTTTCTATGTAGGCTGATACATTAGGACCTTTACTGCTAACAATGGTGAAGGTATGATGTACAAAGTAGACTGGTTTAAGATTGCATGGTGGCTCATGGTCCTCTTTAATTGCAGCTTCTTTCACATCCATTTATTACCAAGTATACTGATTCTGCAGTGGATTTGGGTGCTTTTGTCAGAAGCATTTTTGATCCTACACAGAGGATGAAAGATCTGGCAGATGTGAGTTTTCTACTTCATTTTTACCTTTGCAGTAGCTCTAATTCCTTCATTTGGTGAAAAATCTATTAGAATTAAGATGTCGTAGAGAGCATGGGCCTGCTCGTTGGCTGTATTAATTTTGTTAACTCGCTAACAATCAAAGTTACAATAGGCTAAAACTTTTAAGAGTAGGTGATGCTGAATTCATGTTTGTTGTTTGCTGTGTCAGATGCTGACAATACATTACTATTTGCTGTTTGATGGATCCGATGAATTTTGGCAGCATACCAAGACATTATATAATGAATGCTCCACATTCAGGTATCTGACATAGTGACATTTGCGACTTTAAGTCTAGACTTGTTTGTTGCAAGGAGAAATTTGATTTTAGTATGTCTTCTGTTTTGTTTTGACACGCGTAACAAGCATCCGTACAAACAGATGTATACTGTGGGACCTGGCTCCTAGAGCCTAGGTCTTGCTCTTGGAATATTGTGGCATCTGAGGAATTTGAGGCTCTTTGTGCATACCCTTGAATCATATTTCATGAGACCACACTCTTCTTGCTTGCAGTTTTGAGCAAAGTTTTTACTGTGTCTCTGTCTCTCTTTGCATTTATCAACACAACGACAAGAGCATCTATATTTAAGGCTCTTGGCAATCACGGGTTATGATTTTTTGAAGCTCTTTGTGGTCCTCTTGACTTTACCTTCTAACTTCAATGCTTCTATGACGTTTAAGCTTTGGCGGGAAAGAATCCATTGGTCCCAGCAATATCTTTTCAACCATGTCCAATATACGGAAGACATTAGCTGGTGAATGGCCTCCAGAAAAGCTTGTGCATGTTGTGGAGAAAGTTCAATGCCGTACTCATGGTCAAGATGGAGTTGCAATTCGTGTTTCTGGATCTTTTATAGTTGGGAACCAATTCCTCATTTGTGGAGATGGTATGCAAGTTGAGGGTCTGCCAAATTTGAAAGATCTCTCTATCGATATACCCAGCAAACGGATGGGGACTTTTCACGAGCAATTTATTGTAGAGCAGGCGAACATCATTGGCCGTTATTTCATAACTAAGCAAGAACTTTTCATTACTCAATAGAAATCTTCCTGCAAAACTCTTGAGATCGTGGATGTATTTGTAGTTCACTGTTCCTATAAATGGATTCGTTTTGAGTCGAGGGTCCCCCGGAAACAGCCTCTCTACCCTCCCCATATGCCACTAGTGGGATTATTACTGGGTTGTTGTTGTTGTTCCTATAAATGGAATGAAGAGTTGAGAATCGCCTCTAGGTAACGCCAATTAAAATATGCTTTTTCACTTGATTATTTTTTCTTTTTCCTTCTTTAAGCGTCCCCCTTTTGTTAAACCCAATTGACACGAGATGTTAATACTGGTGCCTCTTGTGAACAGCACTTTGTATGTCAGCTCTCTCTCTCTCATTATTATTATTATTATTATTATTATTATTATTTCATGATCAAGTGGTGAACCTACAATTCACTTTACAAAGGAAACAGTACGTAGTAGAAATAGAACTCTCATCTAATTTAGGCTCTCCCCATGCATGCAGGGGAGGGAGAATGCTACACTGTCAATTTTGAAGGTAAAAGCAAACTCCAGTATGAATTGCGGCTGCCCATCATCTGTAAACATGGTAAAACAAGCAAGTCAGGGTTCTTGATTAGGATGGGCACATGCACCAACTAATGACGCTCATTAATTCAAGCACCTATAACTGATGTTTTCTTGATTCAAACACTCTACTAAGCATCATAGACAAATAAATCCTAGCAAAATCAGTCATCATCATCAGAACTCTCATATGCTGCAAGCAATTTTTTCACTGGATTTTCTATCTCTGTTCTAGCTCCAGCATCACTTGGTCTAGCTGGCAAAGTCTCTATCTGCTTCTCATGATCGGCATCACACTTGCCACTTGGTGCAGCCTGTGTACTTGGATGTACAAGAAAATCATTCCCATTGGATGGGTTAGAGACTTTCGGCTTCTTAGATTTGACTTCTACAACCCTTTTTAGTACATCTTGTTGCCTGCAAAGCTCACACGTTGAGTTGATTCCCAGAGATACTTTGGGCGATTGATCTGCCTTGGATTAGAAGATAAGTTCAAACCTGATCCCACTCTTTGGCTTGGGCTCAACACGAAGCGTCAGAGGAAGTAATGCAGGTGAAGAATCAGCAACAGCTTTGTTTCAAATTGTTACGGAAATCACGAACTACCAGACGATTACAAAGATATAAATGCTCTCTTGTTTCCCAAAGTCACAGCAGTTGTATTATGCAGGTAAGAGAAAATCCATGTGATAAATCAGTCAAAAAAACTTCACAATTTTTGATATATTGATGAAATTCAGTTGTATCATAAGCCAATAAACAAATCATGCACATGCAAAATGAGATAAAATCCAAGAAAACAAACAAAAGGATATTTTGAATACTTGGAATGCACGTTTTTCAGTGCGGCGCAGAAGGCGTTCAGCGTCCTCCTCAGCTTCCATCTGTTCCTTGAGATAGAGCAGGTCATCACTGTCTAGGGCTGCATTTTCAAAACTTACACAATTCTCAAGAAACTATGACACTTTATTATGTGTGAAAATTGCAGCAAAAAGAAGAAACAGAAAAAGAAAATGAATCAAGCAGAGCAAGCATCAATACCGCCTCTTCCATGAAGGTAACCTCCACGTTCCCCAGCAACATCTCGCATCTGAAACACATCAAGCACCCAGTAGGAAAAGCCAAGATCCCTGCCAGGGCATGTTATCAGACCACTCCCATGATTTTAAGAGGATCATTGTGTAATATAATCTAGGCCTGAAACTTCTCTACTGTATTTTGACTTTCAGGGGGGTCCTTCTTTTTGGATAAGTTACAAGGATTCAAAAACATACCAATTTGGTGTAGCAGTGCTAAACTTCTCTGCAGAATCTTTATATGCAGAATATCCTAGCAAAGACCTCTAAACTGAATGCTAATTGCTGGTGCGATCAAGAATACTCCTTTAATTCTTTGTCTTTTTGATAAGTTTCTGCTACTTAACTCCATCCAGATATCTAGCACTATTTAGTCAAGACATGTTACTCTAGTTGATTATAGTCTTGTAAGATGTCCCGTGTTCATTTAATGTCTGGTGGAGAAAAAAAAAAAGAGACTGTGGGGAGAAAGAAAAAAGGATTTACTTAAGTAAGAGGATGTAAAGCCGAACTGGTGCTCAGCATCCAAGTTATTTCGGTAAATCTTCCAAATTTAGACAAGAGGACGTCTTTTTTTCTTTCTTTGTAGAACAAGAAAATAAATCCCTTTATTCTCGTTCCAGCTTATAACAACAAACAACACGCAGATGGAAGAAGATTAAATGCTGCTGAGTAAGAATATCAACAATCTTCAGACTTAGATCATGATGATTACAAATATATAATGGGCCAAAAGAGCTTTGCTTCTCTACATTAATTCATTAACCATTTAATATCAGCATATGTAAAGCGCGATTTACTATACCAAATCATGAACCTTCCTTACCATATACTCTCGAGTTCTTCAAACAACTAAAAGCCTTTTATGTCGTATCCATTTTTTTTCTATAATATTGAAAGTGGAAATTTCAATATTACAGTAATTGTCAACTCAACATTTGAAAAATAAAAAAGTATAATAAAAGGTCAATTCGTGGATTGAAAACAAATGAAAAGGTAAATGGTGAAGTGTGATAAGATTAGAGAAGCGGGATTGGCTAACCTTAGAAACCATGCGATGAAAGGCAATTTCCTCGTCATCAATTTTATCCTTTCCTTTACCAAATTTCTTATCTGCAATTTGATTGCATGTTAATGAAACCCTAATCAACGAAAAAAGGGAGTCTTTTGCATGAGTTAATGGGGCAAATGTACCTTTAGGATCTGTGAGATTGGTATATTCTCGAACTTCTCTACCAGCCATGGCTGCAATTGAAGACACTAACCACCGATTATTGATTCGGAGTAATTTTATTACCAACGACGAAATGGGAGATTATTAGGGCATGTTTTCTTCGCAATCGGGTCGTTTATCCTCTATCTGGATTTGGAACAGCAGTCCTGATTCGGGCTCAGTTGGCCAGCCCAACCAAACTCAGAAAAATCCGAAAATTTAGTTGGCTTTTTTCACTTTTAGCCCATGTCAAAAATTATTTATTATTTTCGGTTAAATATTTGATTCTCTGTTGACTTGAATTAGTTATCGATTTAGTTTTTATTATAATATAATAATATTGTTACTGTTTAAGTTGATTGACTGCAATGGTTAAAATGATGAAGAGTTGAACAGTTTTGCCATTGCATCTTCGATAATTCACACATTTATTGCTAGCATTGATTATCATTAAGTCTAAGTTGGGCATAGTCACATGACACTGTTGGAGGCTTGTTTCCTCCTTACTTTCATGCTACAAATGTTAGCAGGGCGGGTTTAATAGAATGATATCAGATTCAATTGAACTCATAATTTTTGATGTCGCGAATTTTAAAATTATAATAAATAGTAAATATGCTCATAATTTTAAAAGTATAATGAGTTCAACGCTAAAAATCTTAAAGGTTGAACCATAGAATTTAAATCATGAATGTATTATGTTAGTTAGGCAAACAAAGGGAGGAAATTGGGGCAAACACACTCCGTATTTCACATGGAAACAGTTGAACCAGTATAAAACAAACATAAAAAAAAATTTGATCATTTTTACAAAGAAATCACACACTATCGACATTTAAATTCGATTTTTATTATAACATGAAAATGAACAAAGAAATAAGTAGAGTACAAGATTAATGAAATTGGATTAGTTTGACAAACATCCAATAAATGCATTGTCTGGGGCTTAATTTCTGGTTAATTGTATCTGGAGGCCATTGACCAAACGAGCAGATGGAAAGAAAGACATCCGATCTTCTTTCAGTTGCTTCCACCTATAAATTCAGTAAGGTTTCAATTTGTTAATTCAAATTCATACTTAATCAATAGCGGAATTTTGAAGGAATTAAATTGGTCTTGCATTCCATCTAATATGGGGCGAAATTAAAAGATTGTCAGATTTACAAGTGGTAATTGAAATAGCCACCGTTTCAAAAGTAATCGAAATTTAGCCACTTTTTATGTAAAGTTAAATCTAAACGAAAACACTATTCAAAGTCCGGAAAATATTCCAGCATAATATACTGGGTTCCAGTATAATATACTGGACTTCCAGCATAACATAATATACTAGAGTTCCATAATATATGATGGAAGTTCATCCACATGTGCTCCAATCTCCAGTATATTATGCTGGAAATTTTTGGTGTTGCAGCAAAATAGTGGCTATTTTTCAATAACTTTGCAAATGCTGACTATTTTTCAATTACCAATCCGAAAACTGGCTAGCCCGTACTATTTTCACTCAAATATGTCATTTTTGCTTTTTCATTAAAACCTTCTTTTCCTTCATTTAGATAAAGGTTTCATAAATTGGTCATTTTTATTCCAAAAATTTGATTTATATTTTCAAACCAAAAAAGTACATATTTGCCATAATAAGAAATAAAAACTACTATAGTCTCCTCATTATATTGAAAGTTCTTTTTTTTCTCAAAAATGATTGTTAAGAAAATCTCCCCATTATAGTTAGTTTAAACTTTCAATTTATCTTCTTTTAAGAGATAATTTTACTTATCCATTTGAAAACATTATGTGAACAAAGGGACACATTTAATTGTTGAAATGTGTAACCAATTTATCTAAAAGTTTAAACGGTTTAAAAAACACTCTTTTGTTTTTGTTTAACCCTTATTTATGTATTCTCTGTAGTTATTAAACTATATGATGTTTATGTCTCTGAAAAGAACAAATTAAATGAAATTTGGACAAATATGAACATATATATGTACTAGTTGGAGTACAAAATCAGTTCCTTGCTTTCTTTTTATTAGTTTAGCAATATTATTGTTGTTTCATATTGCGAAATTGTGTTATCAAAACATGCAGCTTTAATTGTATTACAAGATTAAATCAATTTAAGCAACAATTCTTTCAGAATTACTCTATCCTAACGTTAATGTATTATACTTCGTTTGAAGTCTTAAACAAGAATTTGAAAAGATGTCGTAAAAGTTGCTGACTGAAGTAGAAATATTTTGTTTTCTAGAATAAATATGTTATTTTCCGAAAAAAGGTTAAAAAATTAATCAAAGGTTTGTTTCTAAACACAATTCTTTCAACACACAAAATCAAAATTCATCTTCAAACACACATCATTTTCCACAAAATTACAACAACAAAAAAAACTATTTTTTTAAATTCAAATGTTAATTATGAAGATTTTGCAATAAATAACGTCCGAGATTTGTGAATATATTTACTGAAAATAATAAGAGCAGTGAAATGCCTACCTGTAAGTAGTGACAAAGTAATGAAGAAATAGTGCGATTTGAAGGCGGGCCAATTCTGCACCAGGACAAAAGCGTCCTCCTCCTCCAAATGGGGCGAAAAATGGGCTATTTCTCCAATTTCTCTTTTCCTTTTATTGCAATTATGATTTCACANCCAACCCCCCCAAAAAAATGGTTGAAACTCTAGCTATTGGTTAAATGGCTAACCTGGTTTTCAGGATCCATCCATCTCCAAGGGTTGAAAATTCTAGGATCATCATAGATGTTTTCATTTAGATGCACTGCTGAGAGAAATGGTACCACAAAACAGCCTTTTGGGATAACATAATCTACATATAGATAGAAAAACAAAAAGTAAGTGACATATGGTACTATCTGAGAGCCTTTAAGCAACGGTAAAGTTGTCTTCGGTCACGGGTTCAAGCCGTAAAGACAGCCACTAATGCTTGCATTAGGATAGATTGTCTACGTCACATCTTTTGTGATGCCCTTCCCTGAACCCTGCGTGAACACATGATGTCTTGTGCACCGGGCACCTTTTTTAAACTATTAGTATATGATAATAGTTGAAGCCATGAAGGCATGTCCTAGGATTATTATGTTCAGCTTGTTGTATAGTGTAAATTACCTTATATAAAAATTTAAACCATTAGAGGGGCACATGCAAGACTGGTGACTACTTTTGAGACCATGTTAAATTGCATAAAACGCTTCATCTGAAAGTTTAATCTATTAGGAAGATAAATTTTGTTTTTCTAATTTGGGTTTACAAAATTTTCTTGCCGATAATGATTTTGTGAAAACATGAATAAATAGATTGAGAATAAACTAAGCATCATACCTTCATATACAACATCGTTGGTGGCTTCTCGCATCAACCATATTGCAATACCTCCAACCCGAAGTGTTTCATCTGTTACCTGCCAATAAAAGTTGTTTCAGAAATCAAAATTAAGCTGCTGGAGTATTTTTTTTCTTTTTGGGGTGGGGGTGGGGGGTGGGGGGTTTATGAAATCCAAAAGAGTACTTACACATTGAGTAAAAGGCATGGATTTGTAATCTTGCCAAGTGAGCATCTCCTCCTCAGTATCAAAGCTACCCTTCTGACTTCTTGTTATGCTCTCTTGCTCATCCTATCCTTATGGACACAAGGTAAAAATGAAAAACAATTGGCTTAGACAGCTACGACTTTGTAAATGTTAGTGTTCATTTACATCCCTACGGTTCATATATATTATTTTTTTTCTTTAAAGTTTTTGCGTACCCCTCAAGATAAATATTTCATGCCGTTAAAGTTTGTCTAAATTACCCTTTATCTAATAAATTTCTTTACTCAATTAATGACCCACTAATATATTAGAGCAATAAAGATGATTTGGAAAGAAAAAAATTCATGTTTTAGTAAAGTGTTTATTTATATTATTAATCCGTGTAGCTCTATATATCACTGAGCACCGTAGTGATAATACATTGATAAAATATGCAACAAAAAGAAATTAGGCTTATTTTTGTACAATGGAGTGTAAATTATGTACCTGTAATTGTTTCATGGCCTTAGGACATTGAGTAAGGAAGTAAACAGCAAATGCCATTGTCTTAGCTGTGGTCTCATTTCCAGCAAACAAGAGGTTTATAATGAAATCAGCAACTGCATTATCTGGTAAGCTTTCTTCCTCTAGCAGTCTATATATCACACCATTCCCATTTCCAGCTGATGGTTCCCTCCTGTGTTTCTCAATAATCTTGTTTATCTTCATTATAATATTCTCTCTTGCCTATTCAATTAACATAACAGACGCTTCATCATTCTATTGTGGCCTTTCAACTAATATATTATCTTAAAAAGTAACATTAATTCAATCCCCCACAAAATATATATATACTACTAAAAGTTTTACAACAATTTATATTATTAGTATGTACTACTATAAATTATGGAGAAAAAATGTCTACACTTGCAGTTTGTTTGTCACGGAAAGTATTTTGGCGAAAAAATAAGTCATTTTCTGGTATTAGTTGCGAGAAAATATTTTTTATGAAAACAACAATTTCCACCAAAAGGGAAAAATAACTATCCTCATTTTTTTGGGTGGAAGTCATTTTCTTTCACAATTTTCTTAAATTCATACTACTATTATAACCAACACTTAGACATTATTATCAATCTTTATATAACTTACATCAAAAAAGTATCTAGGTACCTAATATTATCATTTTTTTGAAAAATATTTTCCACTCTATAATCAATCACTAAAATACACACTTAATATGGTAAGACCTGACTTATTTTTACCTGCATAGCAGTATGGTAAGCAAAACCAGGCATATTGATTGGAACGGAAAGGCATCCATCCACAAAATCAGAGAATAATTGAGCCATCTCATTCACCTCTGATTCATTTGACACTCCCAGCAGTTGATTAACCATCAAATTAATGGCCAGCTGAAATGTTTTGTAATTTCCATTAAATAAAAAGATAAAACACATAATGAACTTAGTATGAAAAAGGTTCTAATTAGCAATAACCACTAAGGATTATCGTGAGATGGATAAGATTAATCCTCCCTTAACCAAAGGTTTTGGAATCGAACTCTAAGCACGGAATAAATCCTACCTCCTTTAATGGGACTTACGAGCAGATGCAGACCTAAATTTGAAGGTTGCTGGTGCACTTTTGTATTCAACCAAAATCTCCTTTATGTATCGTGTGCCGCTACTAATATATATACTCCCTCCGGTCCGCTTTAATTGACTTTTTAGCTTTTTTTTTTTTTTTTTTGTGATCCACAATATTTGATTTTTCCAGACATCAAGAAGGAATTAACTTCTTTTTTTCGAAAGCCGCCCTTGGAGTTTGTTATAGTTCCAATGAACAAATTAAGGTTAATATAGTCAAGTTCATTACTCCTATTAATTAATGCTAAAAGGTGGATCCTTAATATACGTGAAAACATCCAAAAAATCAATTAAAGTAGACCGGAGAGAGTATTAGTACTATTTTTAAAGATATATACATGTATAGATGACATTTTTTCCGAACTTTTCGGGTGCCGGTGACCCCACGATACAACATATGTTCGCCTCTGCTTACAAGGCAACTCCAAATTAGTTAGGACCCCAATATGGTGCCAGACACCGGGTGCGAAACCAAAAAAAAATTAACATACCTTTCTGCAAACATCTCGGAGAAGAATAACCTCATTATCTTGAAAATTATTCAAGGTTTGTTGAATAACCCTTTGTATATCCTGCAAGAAATGGAACTTAAGCTTGTCCAGTCTCATCATATTAGAGGCGATAGAGTGAAGTTTTCTTTGCTGTTCTCCTTGTGCTGTGATCACCCCATTTTTCCCAACTAAATCTCTGAATGATTTTGGATAACTTGATTTAAATAGCTTCCCTTCATTTTGCATTACAAATCTGTTAAAAGCAGGGTCTACTGATACTACAGCCCATTTACCATGTAAACTACATGAGAATATTTTCCCATACCTGTGAATACATAAGATTTATATAAGAACTGAGGATTTGGCTCCCGTTTGGACATAAATTTTATTTATTTTTTTTAAAAAAAAGTTTGAAAATATTATTTGTTCATGAAATTTGATAAGTTTTTGAAAAATTTTAAAGAATAAATTACGAGTTCCAAAAACTAGTTTGTGCTAGTTTTTAGGTGAAAATTTTTATTCAGCTCGCAAAACTTCAAATACATGTCCATACACAACTTCGACTTTCAAAACCTATTTTTTCACCGACCTTCAAAAACTTTTATGTTCAACTTTCAACCAAATCTATATTCAAACGCCGGCTTGGTTCGAAGAAATCCAAGAAGGGGGGAGGGGGGAGGGGGGTTTATGACTTACTTTTGAACTTGTTTTTCAACAAAACAAGGGGGATGAGAACTGGCAACAGCATTGTACCAGTTAAAGCTGTCACCAATAATTGGCCAGCCTCTTCTACCTGGAGGGAACTTTGCATTTCCTTTTTTAGATTTTCCCTTCTTGTATTTGATGAAGACAAGAAAAAACAGAGTGCAGATTATTAACACCCAAAAGTCTGAATAAATTTCCATAGATTAACAGAAGGAATGAGACAGTGTAAGAGAAAGAACCATCTGCTAATGATAAGGAAGAGTTGAATGGAAGTTGACATACATAATTATTAGCTTAAGTCTAACAGAAAATTCTCTCCTTTAATATATTATTAATATAATATTAATTAAATAATTAATGGGAAAATGAAGCCAGAAACAAACAAAAGAGGGTGGTGTGAAGGGCAAATAAGCGTTCGTTGACCCAAGATTTGTAGTCCCACGTCTGTAAGTATTATTTGCAGCTTTAAGTAATGAATTTCACATTACATAATTGTTTGGAGAATGACAAAATTAAATTATTTTTCTTATGTTTTGTCAACTCATAGTTAGTTCTGTTATTAAAGAATCTATTTTTCACATTCTTTTGCTGTTAGATATGATACCATTCTTTCAGTTATAATCTTAGCTTCGGATTTTATTTTATTTCTTAAATTAAAATGATAATCCGCCTAGATCTCTTTTCAACTGGGATTTGCTTTGTTTTTTCCCCTTGTTATTTTTCAAGCAGAGTTTAATAATTTGGACTCAAGTTAGCTGTGATTTATTGTCATGTATCTATATATTTATCATAGTTTAGTCTGAAAATTTTCCATTTTTGTAGCCTGCAGATCTCAGAACTGTCGCTTAATATATCATTTTTTTGGTATTGGGAATACTAACATATATTGGTAATAAAAGAAATTAATTTAAGCATAAAGTCTTTCCTCTCTCTGATCTAATAGATTTTTTCCTTTTAGGGCAGGAGGATGAGGACACGAACAGCGGGGCAGTCTGATGCTCCAAAATGTACCTTTGTAACAAAGATTCAAAATGGTGTATTTTCTTTTTGGTCCGTTCCAAAAAGAATGATTTCTTTTTAAATTTGGTAACAATTTAGTTTAAATTTACAATTCTATCCCTAACGAGAAGCTTTTATAACCACACAAATACTCTGACCCCTTTTTGGCTTGTTTAGGATCACAAATTTCAAAAGTCTTTTTTTTTTTTAAACTTCGTGCCTAGTCAAATAATTTTATATAAATTGAAACGGAAGGAGTAGTAGATTTTTTGTAATGTTTTTCTATTGCATGTAAAAAATATTTAATAGTGTATAATTTAATCGTTTCAATAAGTTATATATTTTTCTATTCAATACATACTTAATGCAAGCACGCACTTAAACTTTAAATAATTTGATTCTGCAAGTACTTTTAAAAAATATGGTGTACGAACCAATTTGTGCACCTCAATTACTATGTTAGGTGCTTGCTACTTTTCATTAGATCTCAGTAACTTTGGCTGCTAAAGCGTAGGCGAATGAGATAAAAACATATAGCGTTTTTTTGCTTGGCTGTAATCTAAAATTTGGTCTTTTCTACGATTTTTACCACTTCATTGACCGTTACACCGCACATTGGATATAATTGTATAGACACAAAATATTCTTTTAACATGAGTCGATAAAAATGAAGATTTTCAAAGACCAGGTGAGAAAGCTTTTAAGTTGGAGAAAAGTTAGATAATATGCTCCAATTTGAGTTGTCTAATCTGATTTGTTTAATTTTGTTCAGCCAATCTTAAGAGCTAAGACCCATTCTTTTGACTAACTTTCTTTAATTTTATCTCTTCCCTTCCAAGTATTGTGACCTTTGGTTGTTTTTAAAGGCTCGAGGTTTGGACTAGTCAAGTCTATGTCGAGCCCCATAAATATTTAAAATGGATGACAATGCTTTGGATCACTGGCTTTGCCATTAAATGTTTGATGAGAGTTGTTTTTACTTTGTTAGGAACAAGCCCGACATATGCTAATAGAAAAAGGAACTTGTTGAATCTTTCTTGGCAAAAGATGAGGCGATGACTTTGAGATAAAAAATTTATGAACCACTATAATAGTCAACGTCCTAGGGACAGAAAAGCAACACTAGAAGCCTAGATTTCTGGCACTTTTGTACACAGATGTAGTAGTATTTGTTATTAATCGTTTTAACTATTGTCAAACTTATTGTTTTATTATGTTGTTGAAAGTTAATGTGACTTTAATTGTTCAAAACCCTTCGTAGTTTTATAGTTTTATAGACTTTAATAAGACTTGGAAAAACCGATTACCGATTAACGCTTCCGCTTCAAGATAATGGATTCCGCTTCAGGTATGTTTTCTATAACGATTTTGTATAAGATTATCATGTTCAAGATCCTGGAATAAATTAAGTTTATGCTTACATGCAGTGGCGGATCCATGATTTTAAAGTTATGGGTGCTCGCCGATAAAAACTTCAAAAGAAAAGAAAAAATGAATTTACTTATGGGTGCTCGCTTAATATTTATCTAAATATTTATAAGGTTGCCTATATAAATTTATTAATATGGTCAAAATTAATGGGTGCTTAAGCACCCACAACTCCCTACGTGCAAGCCTAGATTTTGAAGGGATAATCTTCGTAAACAAATTTTACATATTTGTGAACCGCTTCAGAAATCATGTGCTATCTTCGGCAATTAGAAATTTTTTTTCTTTATTTTAAACTTTCAATCATGATTGCTGGATTCTAAATCTTGGTTGATAGATGATAAAATAATAAATAAATCAAAAGACAAACAACTGCAAGTTCTTCTAAGTCTTAACTGTAATTGTCGTTGATGATCTCTTTCCGAATAACAAAAGTCCAAACCAATATTATCCAGTGTTGTTCACTGTTTTAATTGGTTAAAACTTGATGTGTGTTATTATTCTTCAAAAGTGGCTTGAAAATATTTTTCCAGTATAGAACAACTTTGGTGTCAGAAGTTGCGTTAATGTGCAAGAATTTGATGAAACATGAATATTGTTAATGATGCCCTAATGTCACGATTCAGTTTAAACCCACTAACTTTTGCCCAATAAATTTAGTTTCGCCAATCCTAGTAAGGAGCTAATTAATAATTGCGGAGAGTGATTTTAGGTCCTTCCAGTATGACATAATTAATTTTCTTGGGCCATGAATAATTTGTTTTGGCTATTAAGTTGGTGAAGCCATTTATTATTTATTTTATGTATGTGATTAATGCTTATATAGTTTGTTAGTCAACAAAGTGATCAAACTAGATTGTTTTAAATATTCACATGCATAAAATATTCTGATATTTATTTTATGTATGCATTTATGTTTATATAATTTGTTAGTCGCCAAAGTGGTCAAACTAGTATGTTTTAGAAATATGCATACATAAAATTATAGTTTATTCATAAAATTAATAAAATAATTTAAGAAATAGTGGATAAATTAATTTTTGTTATTGCTAGAACTTAAGGATTTACCCAAAGGTGCATCAATTATTTTATGAATAGTGAATATGATGAGGGAAATAATATTCTTAGTCAAATATATATTGTCTGTCCAAAGATGGCATATATATTTGGTTAAAAATACTTAATTACCTATTAAGACTAAATGAAATTTAAATTGTGATAGTGTGTCGTAGTATTTAACCAAAGGAGAATTGTGATATGTTTTAACTGTTTTATTGAATCCATATTGAATTGTGAGTGTGTGTTATCTATTTTGCAGCTATTCCTTTTCATTCGCTTGCTTTGTCTGTTACTGTGTTCAATGGATTGAACTTCTCTGAATGGCGTGAACAAGTCCAATTCCACTTAGGTGTGATGGATCTTGACTTGGCTCTGCTGAATGATAAGCCCGCTAACATTACTAATTCGAGCATTGTGGATGAGAAGTCTTTCTATAAAGCATGAGAACGCTCTAACAGGCTAAGCCTTATGTTTATGCGAATAAATATTGCCAACAACGCTAAGAGTACTATTCCACAAACAGAAAGTGCCAGGGAATACCTGAAGTTTGTGGAAGAACGTTTTCGTTCTGCAGATAAGTCTCTTGCTGGTACACTAATGGCTGAACTCATGACTATGAAGTTTGATGGGTTGCGTAGTATGCAAAACCATATCATCGAGATGACTAACATTGCAGCAAGACTTCAGACCTCGGGGATGAAAGTGGATGACTCCTTCTTGGTTCAATTTATTCTAAATTCGTTACCTCCTGAGTATGGACCTTTTCAAATTAACTATAACACTATTAAAGATAAGTGAAATGTTAGTTAATTGTCCGATATGCTTACTCAGGAGGAGTTAAGACTGAAGAAACAAGGGAGTCATTCAATTAACCTCATGGGTCAAGGAGCTGGTAAAGGACTTAAAGTGAAGGCCAACAAGTTCAAGAAGAAGAAAGCATCTGCTAAAGCTTAACAGGATGCTAACAAGGAACATAAGGCAGATACGTGTCGTTTTTGTAACAAGAAAGGACACTATCAGAAAGATTGTCTGAAACGTAAAGCTTGGTTCGAAAAGAAAGGTACAATTAGTGATTTTGTATGTTTCGAATCAAATTTAGTAGAAGTTCCTAATAATACTTGGTGGCTTGATTCTGGAGCAACTGCTCATATATCTACTACGTTGCAGGGATTCCTTACGATCCAAACTACAAATCCAAATAAGGATTTCTTGTTCATGGGAAATCGTATGAAGGCTCCAATTGAAGGCATAGGGACTTATCGTTTGATCATGGAGACTGGACGTCACCTTGATCTATTACAGACTCTTTATGTACCTTCGATTTCTAGGAATTTGATTTCTCTTTCGAGACTTGATGTTTCTAGATTTGATTTAAAGTTTGAAAATGGATGTTTCAATTTATATAAGAATGCTATTTTTTATGGTTCTGGTTTTCTTAGTGATGATTTATATAAATTGAAACTCGATATTGGTTTTTTTGAATCCCTTCTAACTATTCAACATAATGTTGAAATTAAACGTAGTTCACTAGATGAAAGTTCTGCTTACTTGTGGCATAGACGTTTGGGTCATATATCCAAAGAAAGGTTAGAAAGATTAGTAAAGAATGAGATTCTTCCGAGTCTAAATTTTACTGATCTTACTATATATTTGGATTGTATTAAGGGAAAGCAAACCAAGCATAGTAAGAAAGGTGCCACAAGAAGCACCTAGGTTCTTGAAATTATACACACCGATATTTGTGGACCCTTTGATGTTC